CACACACACACACACACACACACACACACACACACACACACACACACACACTTGTTAGGGCTTGCAGAAAACCAGCTATTTCTAATAATAGTTTTCGCCCGCCTCGTGTGTTTCTTCCACCTTTTTTCAAGAAAAGTTTAATCAAACCTATCCTTACGCTCTGGGGTCATTTTGTACCCCCGGGGTTGTACTTTTCACATTTTAGAATACTTCTACATGTAGTACGAAGATCTCTTTGAAACTTTCAGTATTTCTCATAAATCATTTTGACCGACTGCTACGCAAAACGTACGGATCGGATGAACGAGTAAATTTCCTCTTTGGAAAGTGGTGGCACAGAGTTCCCCACGTCGTTTGGATACAAAAGTAAAACACGACGTACGGATAGGGTTAAGACAGGCCCCTGGGACAGGGCTCATCTTTTGCTGAGACATAAAGACATTTGATTGGCTGTTAGGTTACTATCGTTGTAAGTGGTGACAACAGTGATTGGATCTACGATCAAGTGCGTGTGCTCACTGCGTGAAACATGAGGCGGACGACTCTGGAACAGTTCTAAACGGTTTCAAGTGATTATTTCTTCTTTTTAAAAAAGTTTTAGTAAGAGTTTTGCGGCACTTGCAACACAATAAGGTCATATAAATGCCGAAGAATAGATGAGTAACTAGAGAGTAACATACACAAAAAAGGAGGAGAGAAAAGAACGATAGAAGTTTGATAGGAAAGAAGGAGCGAACCACACCAGAGCACCCGCCAACCTCCTAAACTGATTATTTCGTTTATTCATTAAGAAACATTCATTTACGCAGAGGAAGGATTGGGGGTGGGTGTGGGTGGGGCTGAAGCCCTTCAGCCCCTCACTACGCCCCGCCACTGTACAGTTAATGGCTGACATGACCTGGTTTGGAACGGGCGAGAGACCGTTAAAACTTTCCCTCAAGAATTCCCAGAAAAAGGAGAGACAGGAATTCCTGCAGACGTTCTGTTTAGACGCCATTGCTGTTATAAATCTGACAACACAAGTTATGCACACACATGCCATTCCAGAATCCACAGACCCACTATTTTGTCATTTTAAAAGCGTTCTTCTGTTTTTACGGAAACACAGCTTTTAGAGCTCAGAATGTGGCAAACATTTCTCAGCCAGAACTGGTTTCATTCGACATAGCAGACGTCACAAGTCATCGCAATCGTGTTTTTCTTTTGATTTGTTGAGGACATTGTCTCCTCCGAGGATGCACTGCTCACCATTAGATATCAACGTGAGATCTATGATTGTAGCAGTATGTAGTAATAATAATAATAATAATAATAATAATAATAATAATAATAAGTAGTAGTAGTAGTAGTAGTAGCAGTAGTAGCAGCAGCAG